AAAGAGGAGGGTCAAAGGTCACACAGCCCAGAATTGCCCCCTCCCCACCCTCAATATAATACAGGGAGGAAGGAAAGAAGGCCTCCCTCACCATGTCTCCATGGCAGGCTCTCTTCCTCCCTTCCCCTCATACGCTTACTGTCTCTCTTCCTCCCTTCCCTCTTCCCTTCCCTTTCCTTCCCTCTCTTCTTTCTTCTCTCTTCTCTTCCCTTCCCTTCCCTTATTTTTCCCTTCCCCTCCCTCTTCCCCTTCCTTCTCTTTTCCTTCCCCTCTTCCTTCCTTCCCCTTTCTCTTTCCTCTTTCCTTTTCCTTCCCCTTCTCCTCCTTCTTTTCTTTCCCTCTCCTTTCTTTTTTCTTTTTCCCCTTCCCTCCCTCTTCCCTTCTCTTTCCTTCTTCCTCTTCCCTTTCTTCCTCTTCCCTTCTCTTCTCTTCCTCCCTTTTCCTTCCCTTCCTTCCCTTTCTCCCCTTCCCTTCCTTCCCTTTCCCCTTCCCTTCTTTCTTCCCTTCCCCTTTCCTTTCCCTTCCCTCTTATCTTTCCCTTCCCTTTCCCTTCTTTCTTCCCTTTCCCTTTCCTTTCCCTTCCTTCTTCACTTTCCTCTTCTCTTTTCCTTTCCTTCCCTTCCCTCTTCCCTTTCCTTTCCCTTTTCTTTTCCTTCCCTTCCCTCTTCTCTTTCCCTTCCCTCTTCCCTTTCCCTTTCCTTCCCCTCCCTCTTCTCTTCTCTTTCCTTTCCCTTTTCCCTTCCCTTTCCTTCACTTCCATTCCCTCTTTCCTTTCCTTTCCCTTCCCTCTTCCCTTCCCTTTCCCCTTCCCTTCTTTCTTCCCTTCCCCTTTCCTTTCCCTTCCCTCTTATCTTTCCCTTCCCTTTCCCTTCTTTCTTCCCTTTCCCTTTCCTTTCCCTTCCTTCTTCACTTTCCTCTTCTCTTTTCCTTTCCTTCCCTTCCCTCTTCCCTTTCCCTTCCCCCTTCCCTTTTCTTTTCCTTCCCTTTTCCCTTCTTTCTTCCCTTTCCCTTTCCTTTCCCTTCCTTCTTCACTTTCCTCTTCTCTTTTCCTTTCCTTCCCTTCCCTCTTCCCTTTCCCTTCCCCCTTCCCTTTTCTTTTCCTTCCCTTCGCTCTTCCCTCTTCCCTTCCCTCTTCCCTTCCCTTTCTTCTCTTTCCTTTCCCTTTTCCCTTCCCTTTCCTTCACTTCCATTCCCTCTTTCCTTTCCTTTCCCTTCCCTCTTCCCTTCCCTTTCCCCTTCCCTTCTTTCTTCCCTTCCCCTTTCCTTTCCCTTCCCTCTTATCTTTCCCTTCCCTTTCCCTTCTTTCTTCCCTTTCCCTTTCCTTTCCCTTCCTTCTTCACTTTCCTCTTCTCTTTTCCTTTCCTTCCCTTCCCTCTTCCCTTTCCCTTCCCCCTTCCCTTTTCTTTTCCTTCCCTTCGCTCTTCCCTCTTCCCTTCCCTCTTCCCTTCCCTTCCCTCTTCCCTTTCCCTTCCCCCTTCCCTTTTCTTTTCCTTCCCTTCGCTCTTCCCTCTTCCCTTCCCTCTTCCCTTCCCTTCCCTCTTCCCTTTCCCTTCCCCCTTCCCTTTTCTTTTCCTTCCCTTCGCTCTTCCCTCTTCCCTTTCCTTTTCCCTTCTTTCTTCCCTTTTCCCTCTTCCCTTCCCTTGGAAAGGGCTAATAGGGGGAAAGAGGAGCAAGGCAAGAACACAAAAAGGAACCCAATTTGAACATGTTTCTCTTCCTCTTTTGGGCGTGTTATTTCCTGTTTACTTGTGCGGTCCTTCTTGTGAAAGTACTTGTTCTGCTCCAGAGACTTCATTATTTTTGTTTCTGCCGGAAATTACTACATTAGTTGCAACTGGGGGGGGGGGGGCTCCAGGAGGAGACAGCCACGGAAAAAAGGATTGCCGAATGTGCCATCGCAGGACAAGGTCCCTCCTTCTCGCAAAAGAGATTTGGCAGCTTCATAAACCTTCTCCCCTCGTTTTTGGGAAATGACATTGGCAACCCATAGTGTTATTGGAGGGAAGGCTGTGGGAGGAGGAGGAGGAGGAGGAGGAGGAGGAGGAAGAGGAGGAGGAGGAAGATAATTTTTTTTGTCGTGTCAGGAGTGACTTGAGAAACTGGAAGATGATGAGGAGAAGGAGGAAGATGAGAAGGAAGATGATGATAATGAGGAGGAAGATGATGTTGAGGAGGAGGAAGATGAGAAGGAAGATGAGGAAGAAGATGAGGAGGAGGAGGAAGAGGAGGAGGAAGATGAGGAGGTGGAAGATGATGAGGAGGAGGAAGATGATGATGAGGTGGAGGAAGATGGTAATGAAGAGGAGGAAGAGAAGGAAGAAGATGAGGAGGAAGATGATGATGAGAAGGAGGAAGATGATGATAATGAGGAGGAAGATGAGGAAGAAGATGAGGAGGAGGAGGAAGAGGGAGGAAGAAGGAGGGAAGAGAGAGAGGAGGAGGAGAATGAGGAGGAGAAGAGAAGGAGGAAGATGAGAAGGAAGATGATGATAATGAGGAGGAAGATGATGTTGAGGAGGAGGAAGATGAGGAGGAAGATGAGGAAGAAGATGAGGAGGAGGAGGAGGAGGAGGAAGATGAGGAGGTGGAAGATGATGATGAGGTGGAGGAAGATGGTAATGAGGAGGCGGAAGAGAAGGAAGAAGATGAGGAGGAAGATGATGATGAGAAGGAGGAAGATGAGAAGGAAGATGATGATAATGAGGAGGAAGATGATGTTGAGGAGGAGGAAGATGAGGAGGAAGATGAGGAAGAAGATGAGGAGGAGGAGGAAGAGGAGGAGGAAGATGAGGAGGTGGAAGATGATGAGGAGGAGGAAGAGAAGGAAGAAGATGAGGAGGAAGATGATGATGAGAAGGAGGAAGATGAGAAGGAAGATGATGATAATGAGGAGGAAGATGATGTTGAGGAGGAGGAAGATGAGGAGGAAGATGAGGAAGAAGATGAGGAGGAGGAGGAAGAGGAGGAGGAAGATGAGGAGGTGGAAGATGATGATGAGGAGGAAGATGATGATGAGGTGGAGGAAGATGGTAATGAGGAGGCGGAAGAGAAGGAAGAAGATGAGGAGGAAGATGATGATGAGAAGGAGGAAGATGAGGAGGAGGAGAAGAAGGAAGGTAATGATGAGGAGGAGGAAAAGGAGGAAGATGAAGAAGAGGAAGAAAATGAGGAGGAAGATGAAGATGATGATGAGGAATATGATCAGGAGGAGGAGGCCGAGGAAGAGGAGGAGGCCCCTTCCGCCTTGAGGCCCCTGGACTTCTCCTGGAAGCAGGCCAAGGAGGGTTGCGTAAAGCCAAAGGAAGGACGAGAACGAGCCCTTCCTTTTCTCATCGGGAGCTCCTGCAACTCCTTGCCAGGCCTGCATGCAAGCCTTGGGAAAAGTAACTTCTCCAGCCTCTGGGGTGGAACTAGCCCTGTCCTGGCCGGGAGAAGTATTGATCCCACCCGTGAAATCCGCGCCCTGCAAAACTTTGAGCTGGACAGTTGGGTCACCTTTGCAGGCTCTATGAGAGAGAGGCGCATGTACGTGTGTGTGTGTGTGATACCCACACACACACATTGATTCCCTTCACTTGTATGCCGCTTTTCTCCTCCCAGCGGGGGACTCAGAGCGGGGGTTTCCGACATAATGATGGCAAAATGGAAGGCCTCCCTCCCTCCCTCCCTCCCTCCCTCCCTCCCGTACAGAAACCTAACATAACAATAATAGCAGACCAGGATCCACTACTTCACAGAACACATTAGTACTCATAATAGTGATGGTGATGATGATGATGATACCTTGTCGATGGCTTTCATGGCCAGCATCATTAGGATGTTGTGTGGTTTCTGGGCTGCATGGCCGTGTTCAAGCAGCATTTTCTTATCACATTTCACATTTCAAACTACAAGAGAGGAGATCAAACTACAAGAGAGGAGATTCCATCTGAACATGAGGAAGAACTTCCTGACTGTGAGAGCCGTTCAGCAGTGGAACTCTCTGCCCCGGAGTGTGGTGGAGGCTCCTTATTTGGAAGCTTTAAACAGAGGCTGGATGGCCATCTGTCAGGGGTGATTTGAATGCAATATTCCTGCTTCTTGGCAGAATGGGGTTGGACTGGATGGCCCATGAGGTCTCTTCCAACTCTTGATTCTAGGATTCTATGACTGGAGCATCTTCACAACATCAGGAGACAATGCTGCTAGAACACACCATACAGCTCGGAAACCGTCAGAGAGAAGTCCAGCAGAAGAAAGATAAGGAGAAGGGAAGAAGAAGGAAGAAGGAGGTGAAAGGAAGAATGTAAAGAAGGCGGGGATAAGCAAAAACTTTGCCCTAGTTGTGCTACACACTTCAGTGAAGGAGGAATAATTTCAATGCTAATTTTCCATAGGTCTCCCCTAGCTTTTGTATTGTCTCTATCAAATTAAGACCATAGGGTAAAGATTTACAGTGGTTAGCAATTACTAAAATAGAATTGTACATCTATATGTGTGCATATGCTTATATATGTATACTTGTATGGTAAGAAAAATAGGAATGTTTAGGGGAAAGGACATGGGAAGGGAGAAATAATTGGTCCAGAGAAGTAGACAACCTCGAGAAGGTATAAGAAGGAGAATAAGTAGAATAATAGGAGATGAGTTCAAGATATAATTAAATAATTATTATAAGTCAGCAAAAGAACAAGATGGGATACCTCTCATAGACAGAAATGAATGAGATCAGAGGAGGATGAGAAATAAGGAAAATGAAAAGAAGAGGAGAAATATCAGGAGAAAAAGCAGAGGAGAAGGAAGTAGACTATTAAGAGACGAAATGAGTAGTGAAGAATAAGAAGTTAAAGAATGATGAGGAGAAGCAAAATAACAAATGGTGTATAAAAATGGAGAAACTCGAAATAGATGAGATAGAATAATAAGAATTAAATAAGTAGGAGAAAGAGAAGGAGAAAAAGCAGAAGGAGAAGAAGGAGAAGAAGAAGAAGAAGAGGAGGAGGAGGTGAAAGAGAAGAAGGTAAAGAAGGATGAGGAGAAGCAAAAGAACAAGATGGAGGATAAGAAAAAGGAGAACGAGAAGAAGAGGAGGAGGAGGAGGAGAAAGAAGAAGAAAGGAAAAAGAAGGAGGAGAAAGAGAAGGAGAAAAAGCAGAAGGAGAAGAAGGAGAAGAAGAAGAAGAAGAGGAGGAGGAGGTGAAAGAGAAGAAGGTAAAGAAGGATGAGGAGAAGCAAAAGAACAAGATGGAGGATAAGAAAAAGGAGAACGAGAAGAAGAGGAGGAGGAGGAGGAGAAAGAAGAAGAAAGGAAAAAGAAGGAGGAGAAAGAGAAGGAGAAAAAGCAGAAGGAGAAGAAGGAGAAGAAGAAGAAGAGGAGGAGGAGGAGGAGGGGGAGGAGGGGAAAGAAGAGGAAGGGGAAGTAGTAGTTACAGAAAATGAAGACGTCAAACTACTCTGGCACTTCTGAATACAGACAGACAAGAACCCGGACCCCACAATCATGGAGAAAAACAAGTATGGATTGTCGATGCTGCAATCCCAGGTGAGAGCAGGATTTCAGAGAAAGAACTGGAAAAGCTGACACAATATGAGGATTTAAAGATCGAACTGGAAAGACTCTGGCACAAGCCAGTCAAGGGGGTCCCAGTGGTGATGGGCACACTGGGTGCAGTGCCCAAAGACCTTGGCCTGCACTTAAACACAACCGGCGCTGACAAGATGACCATCTGCAGAAGGCCACCTGACTGGGATCTGCACACGCATTATTTGCCGCTACACCACACAGTCCTAGGCACTTGGGAAGGGTCCCACGTGCAGTCAAATACAAAACCTAGCCGAGTGATGTTGTCTACGCATGTGGTTGTGTATCCAATGACAATATGAATGCTTACCTCTCAGTGGAGTCCACAGGGTTGCCCAAGAGGGCCAGAGCCAGGAAGAGGGCCAGAGTGATGGAGGGGGCGCCCAGCATTTTGGGGGTCCCTTCTCTTCAAAATGAGACGCTGAAGAACTGGGGAGAGACAGGCCTGTTGGGTCAGGAGAAAAGACACCCCCTTGGCCCCCAAATAATAATAATAATAATAATAATAAAACCCCCAGAGGGCAAAGCCTTCCTTGCAGAGCCGGGTACCTTCCAAGGGTGGTCTGGGGTCCAGAGGGGGAATTGGGGTGCAGCTGCTGCCTCTTCTTCTCCCCCTTCCTTCCTTCCTTCCTTCCTTCCTTCCTCCCTTCCTTCCTTTGCAATGCGCTTTCTGGTGTCCGGCGTCCTGCTCTGCTCTGCTGTCTCTGCTCTGCTGGGAGGTGGGCACCAGGCCAGGAGCAGCAGCGGTTGTGTAACGGAGTTTTGTAACACCCCAAAACACACACAAACACCCCCTCCCTTCCTTTCCCCTGGGAGGCGTAAAGGGGCCAAGGGGTCAGGGACACAAAGACAAAGGATGACCAGAAAGGAGGCCCAGCTCAGCCTCCCCCTCCAGCCCCTGATGAAGGGCACGTGGGGACAAGGGGCTCTGGGTGACACTCTGCACCTGGGGGTTATGGGCTTCGTAACTCAGGGTCACGGGTCCTGGAAACTACAAGAAAGGAGATTCCACCTGAACATGAGGAAGAACTTCCTGACTGTGAGAGCTGTTCAGCAGTGGAACTCTCTGCCCCAAAGTGTGTTGGAGGCTCCTTCTTTGGAAGCCATCTGTCAGGGGTGCTTTGAGTGCAATATTCCTGCTTCTTGGCACAATGGGGTTGGACTGGATGATGGCCTATGAGGTCTCTTCCAACTTTTCTAGGATTCTATGATCACAGGTCCACGGTTATTCTTCCTCAATGGGGCGCCTAAGCAAAGCCCCCACTTCCCCTTCTCTGCTCCAAGCTCCACAGCCCTTCCTCCATCGGGACCCCAGACTCCTCTTGATGCAGCCCAGGATCACATTGGTCTTTTGAGCTGCTGCATCACACTCCCCAGCTTGTGCTCACCTCCCAGGCCACTTCCACTCGCCAGGTCCCACTTGTCTCTGTGCATTTGGCCATAGGTTTAGTAAATCCTTGCATGGTATTGTTTATATGTGAGTTCATAGAATCCTAGAATCCTACAGTTGGAAAAGACCTCCTGGGCCATCATCCAGTCCAACCCCATTCTGCCAAGAAGCAGGAATATTGCATTCAAAGCACCCCCGACAGATGGCCATCCAGCCTCATAGAATCCTACAGTTGGAAGAGACCTCCTGGGCCATCATCCAGTCCAACCCCATTCTGCCAAGAAGCAGGAATATTGCATTCCAAGCACCCCTGACAGATGGCCATCCAGCCTCTGTTTAAAAGCTTCCAAAGAAGGAGCCTCCACCACACTCTGGGGCAGAGAGTTCCACTAGTGAATGGCTCAGGAAGTTCTTCCTCATGTTCAGGTGGAATCTCCTCTCTTGTAGTTTGAAGCCGTTGTTCCATTGCGTCCTAGTCTCCAGGGAAGCAGAAAGGAAGCTTGCTCCCTCCTCCTCCCTGTGGCTTCCTCTCACGTATTTATACATGGCTATCATATATATAAGCCGCTCCTCATAGGGCTTGTTCTCCAGACCCTTGATCATTTGAGTCGCCCTCCTCTGGACACATTCCAGCTTAGTGTCAATATCTCTCTTGAATTGTGGTGCCCAGAATTGGACACAATATTCCAGGTAAAGTGGTCTAACCAAAGCGGAAGAGAGCATGGAGCATGACTTCCCTAGATCTAGACGCTATGCTCCTCTTGATGCAGGCCAAAATCCCATTGGCTTTTTTTGCCGCCACATCACATTCCTGGCTCATGTTTAACTTGTTGTCCATGAGGACTCCAACATCTTTTCCACACGTCCTGCTCTCAAGCCAGGCCTCATCGTCCCCCATTCTGTCTCTTTGCATTTCGTTTTTCCTGCCAAAGTGGAGTCTCTTGCATTTGTCCCTGTTGAACTTCATTTTGTTAGCTTTGGCCCATCATCTCTCTAATCTGTCAAGATTATATTAATTGTATTGTTTTTTGCTTATTTCATTTGTTTTATTGATGTGTTGTCGGGCTTGGCCTCATGTAAGCTGGTCCGAGTCCCCTTTGGGGAGATGATAGCGGGGTATCAATAAAGTATTATTTATACCCCACCACCAGGTCCCACACAACCTTCTGGCAAGGAAACAAGTTCAATGTGGGCGAGGCAAAACTACGGTGAGGTGGATCTGGAATTGGTTAAATGGACGAACCCAGAGGGTGATCCTCCCCAAGGCTTCCTCCTCTTCATCCTGGAAAGAAGGGACGAGCAGAGGGCCAAAAGCAGGGTTCCGACCTGGGCCCGATCCTGATCAGGATCTTCATTCATGACTTCTTAGACGAAGGGCGAGAAGGCAGGATCATCAAGTTTGCAGATGGGACCCAATTGGGAGGGAAAGCCAATACTCCAGAGGACAGGAGCAGGACTCAAAGGGATCTTGACAGATTAGAGAGATGATGGGCCAAAACTAAATGAAGTTCAACAGGGAAGTTCAACAGGGACAAATGCAAGATACTCCACTTTGGCAGAAAAAACGAAATGCAAAGAGACAGAATGGGGGATGACGAGGCCTGGCTTGAGAGCAGTACATGTGAAAAAGATCTTGGGGTCCTCGTGGGGAGGAAGGTAAACATGAGTCAACAATGGGATGTGGCGGCAAAAGAAGCCAATGGGATGTTGGCCTCAGGCATCAAGAGGAGCACAGTGTCTAGGTCCAGGGAAGTCCTGCTCCCCATGCTCTATTCCGCCTTGCTTAGACCACTTTACCTGGAATATTGTGTCCCATTCTGGGCACCACAATTCAAGAGAGAGATTGACAAACTGGAATGTGTCCAAAGGAAGATGACAAAAATGATCCAGGGTCTGGAGAACAAGCCCTACGAGGAGCAGCTTAAAGAGCTGGGCATGTTTAGCCTGAAGAAGAGAAGGATGAGAGGAGATATGAGAGCCGTGTAGAAATATGTGAGAGGAAGCCACAGGGAGGAGGAGGGAGCAAGCTTCCTTTCTGCTTCCCTGGAGACTAGGACGCAATGGAACAACTACAAGAGAGGAGATTCCATCTGAACATGAGGAAGAGCTTCCTGACTGTGAGAGCCGTTCAGCAGTGGAACTCTCTGCCCCGGAGGGAGTGTGGTGGAGGCTCCTTCTTTGGAAGCTTTGAAACAGGGGCTGGATGGCCATCTGCCAGTCCAACCCCATTCAGCCAAGAAGCAGGAATATTGCATTCAAAGCACCCCTGACAGATGGCCATCCAGCCTGTGCTTAAAAACCTCAAAAGGAGCCTCCACCACACTCCAAGGCAGAGAAGAAGTTCTTCCTCATGTTCAGGTGGAATCCCCTTTCTTGTAGTTTGAAGACATTGTTCCCTTGCGTCCTAGTCTCCAGGGAAGCAGAAAGGAAGCTTGCTCCCTCCTCCCTAGTGCAAGGAAACTTCCTTGCCCTCTGCACGGGCAACAGGGCCAGACGTTGGTTATGGGCCCAGCACTCTAATGCTTCTGTGCCCGGAGTGGACAAAGCTGTGTGATAAAGTTTGGCCCCACCTGCACATGGGACCTGCACGGCTTTTACTACTAAAGATCCCAATCTGCTGCCAAAGGCCCCCACGTAGTCCCTCCGAATAGCCATAGCGGCTGCATGATCATATAGAGCTGTTTGTGGCTGCCCTGTTTTGTTTTGGTTTTTTTGGTCATGTCAGGAGCGACTTGAGAAACTGCAAGTCGCTTCTGGTGTGAGAGAATTGTCCATCTGCAAGGATGTTGCCCAGGGGACGCTCGGATGAAATGATGTTTTGATCATCCTTGTGGGAGGCTTCTCCCATGTCCCCGCATGAGGAGCTGGAGCTGATAGAGGGAGCTCACCCGCCTCTCCCCGGATTCGAACCTGCTACCTGTCGGTCTTCAGTCCTGCCGGCACAGGGGTTGTACCCACTGTGCCACCTGCTGAACCACAACATGAAAGCCTTCCTGACTCAGAAGGTCCCTTTGCTGTCCGTGGTGCTGGCTGTCCCTCCAGGTGCTTCCTCCTGAACACTTAGAGGCTGGAGAGGAAGCTTCCTTGCACTCTGCACAGGCAACGGAGCCTGATGTGGGTTATGGGCCCAGCACTCTCATGCTTCTGTGTCTGGAGGGAACAAAGCTGTGCAATATCGTTTGGCCCATCAGCCCCCAAAAGCCCTCCAAGAGTCCCTCCAAATAGCCAAAGAAGCTGTAGAGCAGTGGTTCTCAGCCTGTGGGTCCCCAGGTGTTTTTGGCCTACAGCTCCCAGAAATCCCAGCCAGTTTACCAGCTGTTAGGATTTCTGGGAGTTGAAGGCCAAAAACATCTGGGGATCCCAGGTTGAGAACCACTGCTGGAGAGGAAGCTTCCTTGCACTCTGCACAGGCATTGGCGCCTGAGTCCAGTTATGGTCCCAGAACTCGAATGATTTTGTATTGTCGACGGCTTTCATGGCCGGAATCACTGGGTTGTTGTAGGTTCTTTTTCGGGCTCTATGGCCATGTTCTAGAGGCATTCTCTCCTGACATTTCACCTGCATCTATGGCAAGCATCCTCAGAGGTAGTGAGGTCTGTTGGAAATAGGAAAATGGGTTTATATATCTGTGGAATGACCAGGGTGGGACAAAAGACTCTTGTCTACTGGAGCTAGGTGGGAATGTTTCTACTGATCACCTTGTATTGTTGAAGGCTTTCATGGCTGGAATCACTAGGTTCTTGTAGGTTTTTTCGGGCTCTATGGCCATGTTCTGGAGGCATTCTCTCCTGACATTTGGCCTGCATCTATGGCAAGCATCCTCAGAGGTAGTGAGGTCTGTTGGAAATAGGAAAATGGGTTTATATATCTGTGGAATGACCAGGGTGGGGCAAAGGATTCTGTTTGTAGAGACAACAAAGCTGTGTGATAAAGTTTGGCCCCACCTGCCCATGGGACCTGCAGAGGCTGGATGGCCATCTGTCAGGGGTGCTTGGAATGCAATATTCCTGCTTCTTGGCAGAATGGGGTTGGACTGGATGATGGCCCACGAGGTCTCTTCCAACTCTAGGATTCTATGATTCAGGTGCCTCCTGAACACTTAGAGACTGGCGAGCAGGCATGGGCCAACTTTGGCCCTCCCTTTGGGTGTTTTGGACTTCAACTCCCATCATTCCTAACAGCCTCAGGCCCCTTCCTTTCCCCCCTCAGCCGCTTAACCTGAGTGCTGGGTCCATAACCAATGTCAGGCTCTGTTGCCTGTGCGGAGTGCAAGGAAGCTTCGTTGTGCTAGGGAGGAGGGAGCAAGGACGCAAGGGAGCCTGGCTTCAAACTACAGGAAAGAAAGGAGATTCCACCTGAACATGAGGAAGGACTTCCTGACTGTGAGAGCTGTTCAGCAGTGGAACTCTCTGCCCCGGAGGGAGTGTGGTGGAGGCTCCTTCTTTGGAGGCTTTCAAACAGAGGCTGGATGGCCATCTCTCAGGGGTGCTTTGAATGCAAGTAGGCTTAAGTTGGCCCATGCCTGCTGTAGAGGAAGCTTCCTTGCACTCCACAGAGGAAACAGAGTCTTCCATTGGTTATGGGCCCAGCACGCGAATGCTTCTGTATCTGGAGTGAACCTGTGGCCTCGCCTGCCCATGGGATCTGGACAGCTTTTGCAGAAAAGGCTCCTAAGCAGCCCCCAAGGCCCCCCCCCAAAAAAACTCCCTGCAAATAGCCATTGGAGGGAAGCCCCCCCCCCCCCCCCTGGATTTGCCTATTCCCAAATATTGATTTTTTTTGGCTGAGTGTCTTCAAGGAAGAGAAAAACAAACCGCACCGGCTCCAAACAGATCAATAAATATTTATCGGGAATATTTTGCTGTTTTTTCCCGTCTTGTTCTGAAAAAGGCCCCAAAACAGAGTTTACCAAAAAAAGGAGACAGCGTCTAAACTACAGAGAGAGTCAGGTGAAGGGGCCAAAGGCTGAACCCAGGGAGGATATTATCTTGGGGGGGGGGGGGTGTAATTATTATTATTATAAACGTATATAATAAATATAACAGCAATGCCTCAGGGGATGTGTATTGACATACCCTCTAGGCGCACCCCCAGGTCAACCACTGAAATGGGGAGGGGGCTGCCATTCTGCAGAAAAAAGAGCACCATGTTGGGTTTGTTTTTTTTTGGGGGGGGGGTGTCTCCATGTGCCGCACTTTGTTGACCGAGATACACAGGTTGTATGTGTGTGTGTGATTTCCTGTCCCTGCGACCATCCAGAGAGTATACCCCCCCCCTTCTGAAAATCAGAAGTGGCTGCAGACTGACCTCTTGAGGCCATGGGTCAAGGGGAGCAAGTATAATGGGGGTGGGGAGGGTCACCTCTCCCGCTTTTCTATCAAGAGGTCAGACCACTGTCTCTTTGACCCATTTCCCAGGGTCTTCTTTTCCATGACCCCCCCCCCCCTTCATTCAGCAAAACCACCAGGACTTGAACCCAGGGCTTCTGCAGGCACAGCACAAAACTACAGCCCCCCCCCTTTTCCCCACGGCATTAATGTGGGGATGGAAGACACATGCCCCCCTCCAAGGAAGAAACCATTTCAGCATTCAGATCACTCCCCCCCTCCTTGCAAACATACACAGACATCGACAAGTGGAAGGAGGGGGTCGTTACAGGGGACCCCCACAAATGGAAGTAGGGGGTCGTTGCAAGGGACCCCCCCCCCCAATTCAGGACAGAGAAAAGGGAGGCAAGTCGAAGAACCGGTTGTCCAGCATGAGGAATGTCCACTTCTGCCCACTATCAGTCCCAGAGGTCTTCTCCATTGAACCCAGTGCATGATGGGAGAAGGCCAGAGGGGTCTGTCCCTTACGACCCCCCCCCCCGGTTGTCCCTCCCCCCCGCCCTCTGTATCCAAAGGAGTGGGCTGTCCAGCATTTGTGGAAGGGGGGGGTCCACTTCTAACTGCCCTCCACATCCAAAGTCATGCCCAGTGCATGTTGGGAGGAGTACGGAGGGAGGACAGGGTCCACGGGCTGCCCCTCCCCGAATCCAGTCCATGCTGCCCCCCCCCGATGATGAGGAGGGGGCTGTGCAGAGAAAGGGTCCCTGCAAGAAAGCCCTCCAAGGAAGGAACGAAGGGTGGGGGTTCACATCTTGCTGCTCCCGGGGGCAAATCCGAGTTCGCTCCGGGGTGACCGCCCGGGGGGTCCGCTCCCTCCGTTGCCCCCCCACTCGGCCTCGGCTGCTGCAGGGGAGGGAGACCCCTCCTTCTTGGTGCCCCCTCCTCCTCCCCCTCCCCCGGCGCTGCTGCCCCCGGGGCCGAGGCGGTGCCGGCGCTCGCAGTGGCCCTTGTGGCGCATGAAGCTGTCCCTCCACATGAACTTCTTGGCGCAGACGTCGCACTCATAGGGCTTGAGGCCCGTGTGGGTCTTCATGTGCTCGGTCAGGTGGTGCTTCATCTTGAACTTCTTGTTGCAGACGGGGCAGTCGAAGGGGCGCAGGTTCAGGTGCATGTTCACGTGCCGGTCGCGCATGCTCTTGTGCGAGAAGGCCTTGCCGCAGTGGCACATGAAGATCTTGTTGCCGTCCCCGCCCGAGCCGGACGCCAGCTGCACCGCCCCATGCTCCACCGTCGAGGCGGAGGCGGTCAAGGAGGCCGCTGCGGCCGCCGAGGGGCCGGACCCCGCCGGGAAGAGCACCACGTGGTTGCCCTGCATGTCCATGGGCAGGAGGGAGGCCCCTCGCCCCGAAAAGGAGGAGGAGGAGGGGGCGCCCGAGGAGGAGGCGGCGGAGGAGGAGCCCCCCAGGCCCAGCGCCCCCAGCCCCAGCGCCCCCGCCTCCTCCTGCAGCGCCGCCTCGTAGGGCGAGGGGAAGTCCTCCGATGACTCACAGAAGTTGACCTGCTCCTCCAGCTTGCCCCCAGGGCCGGTGAGCGTGCGGACGTCGGAGATGCTGAGGCCGGCTGACTCGGGGGCCCCGGGCCCCACCTCCACCTCCTCCACGGGGTCCTCGTCCTCCTCCTCGCAGGTCAGCACCAGGTCCTCCTGGGGGCGCTCCTTCTTGACGAACACCCACTGCCGCTGGGGCACGATGCTGGGGCGCAGGTAGGCCGGGCGGTGGAGGGGTGGGCGCCGGGGGCCCCCAGGGGGCACGCTGCAGCCGGGCTCCCCGCCGTCACTGCCCTCGTCGTCCTCCATCTCCAGGATGAACTTGCTGCTGCCCCCACCCCCAAAAGGGTCTTTCTGCCCCCCCGGGAAGACCGCCATGGCCGTCACCTCCTCGTCATGGTCATCTGAGGCCTCGCGCTCGCCCCCGAGTAGTGGCCCCCGGGGGTGGTACTTCCCCGCCTCGGAGGGGCCGCCCTCGCCCGAGGAGTCGCGGGGGCTGAAGTAGTTGCTGCTGCTGGGAGACTGGTTCTCACTGGTGCGGCTGGAGTGGGCCCGAAAAGAGGAGGAGGAGGGTCCCAGGGAGGAGGAGGAGGGGGCCAGGGAGGAAGAAGAGGAGGACGAGGAGGGGGCCGCGGCCGACCCCAGCAGCAGCGCCCCCCTCCGCTCCTTGAGCAGCTCGGTGCACTTGTCCACGATGTGCCACATCTGCAGGACGCTGCCCACCGTCAGGAAGTTGACGATCTCGTCGGCGGCCATGCTGAGGTGGCCCGTGTAGGCCGAGCCCAGGACAGCCTCGAAGGCCACGGGGTCCATGACGCTGGGCAGCACCACCGAGGTCATGTTCTTGAGCAGCACCTGGTCGTGGAAGTAGGGCGAGGAGGCCGCCAGCACGGCCCGGTGCGCCCGGAAGACCCTCCCCTGCACCTGGATGGCGATGTCGCAGAGCTTGCCCTCCAGCCGCTGCTGGTTCAGGCTCTCCAGGAGCGCCCCCGTCACCTCCGGGAAGGCCACGTGCACCACCGCCAGGGGCCCCGCCGAGGACGAGGACGAGGCCGCGGCAGAGGAGTCCATGGCGCCCAGGAGGGGTCCGTGGGCCCTTCTCCTAAAGGAAAAAAGGGCAGAGTGAGAAGGAGGACGGGGAGATCAGGATATTCAGCCGTGAAACAACAACAACAACAATAAACAACTTTATTTGTACCCCGCCACCCAAAGGGGACTTGGGGCGACTTACAAGGAGCACAAAGGAAAGCGTGAGAGAATTCAAGGCACACCCGTTTGGTTTAATCTGAGCTATAGAGACCCCAGACCCACTCAAGTTCCCTGGAGTCCCCACATTGGGAGACAGAACAAACCAGCCTTGTTAGATATGTTGTTGTTCATTCGTTCAGTCGTTTCCGACTCTTCGTGACCTCATGGACCAGTCCATGCCAGAGCTCCCTGTCGGCCGTCACCACCCCCAGCTCCAAGATATGAGAAACCTTTAAAAAGCCATTTTATCTCTGTAGCAAAAGAAAGAAGCAAATGGGGAGGAAGCCGTGTCCAGGGGGTGGCGAAGGGCTAACCGGAGACAGAGAAAAGGCAGAACTCTTCAGCACCTTCTTTGCCTCAGTCTCCTCGCTCAAGGAAAACAGGGCTCTACTGGGGAAGCTATTTTATCCCTGTAGCAAAAGGAAGGAGAAGAAAATGGGGAGGAAGCCGTGTCCAGAGGATGGCGAAGTGCTAACCGGAGACAGAGAAAAAGCAGAACTCTTCTTTGCCTCAGTCTCCTCGCTCAAGGAAAACAGGGCTCTACTGGGGAAGCTATTTAATCCCTGTAGCAAAAGGAAGGAGAAGAAAATGGGGAGGCAGCCGTGTCCAGGGGGTGGCGAAGGGCAAACCGGAGACAGAGAAAAGGCAGAACTAGTCAACACTTTCTTTGCCTCAGTCTCCTCCGTAAAGGAAAACAGGGCTCAACTTGGGAAGGAGGGAGCAGAGGATGCAGCAAGGGAAATGCAGCACAAAAGAGGAACAGAGCCACACAGGGACGCCTGGCTAATTGTAATATGTTCCATAGTTGCTGGTGGTTGGTGGTGGTAGACCTAAGAGTTGGTGATGGAAGGGTTAATGTAAGTTTTGGTTCTAAAGGGCCGAGTAGTTTGTAAGTAAGAGTTCATGGGTGAAAGCAATGAAGGGTGGAGTTATGCAAGAGATGGGTTGCAGCTGCGTGTTTCTGGATATAAGGAGCTAGCCTTGGGACTGATCTTTGGGAGAAAAGTATCTGTTGTATTTTGGTGGTAGATGCTGCTGGTTTTCCCCCCAGGTCTGTTGGATTTTTCGGTGTCCTGACCTGTCTCCTGTAATCTTGGAATCCTGGAACCTTGAACGTTTGGACTGGCTTTTGACTACGGTATAGACTCTTGATCCCTGGACTTTGTTTATTGAACTCTTGGCATTTGACCATTGGACTGGACCCTTTTGACTACAAAGTTATTTTTGCTATCAGTTTTTGTTTATTCTGTAGCTGCGTGCTATCTTTGTGTTTTATATTTTGGACTATAAAAACTACTAGCAAGTAAGTGCTGTTTTAATTAAACTGTTTGATAAAACTGGGAGTTTGATTCATCTCTACCTAAACAAGGTAGAGCACTAGCAACGTGACACTAATTGAAATGAGCAGGAGGTATTCAAAGAAGTGGCAGAAGTAATTCCAGAACCCTGGTCATCATCCTCAAGGATTCCAGGTGATCAGGAGATGTTCCAGCAGTCTAAAGAGGGGGAAAGACCCCCAAACAATGACCGCCCAGGGGAGATCCGGAGCAGGTCATTAAAGAGACGATCTGTAAGCATGAAATACTCCTAGAAAGTCAACACAAGTTCCACATAAACAACTCATGCCGGACTGCTCTTACCTCTTTTCTATAGGGTTACAAGCAGGGAAAGCGGTGGAGGGAGAATTCCTTGATTTCCGCAAGGCCTTCGCCAAGGTTTTGTCAGGATTTATTGAGATATAATTGTGTGTTTTAAATGTAATTCTTGTATTACCAATATGGATGCCACTTAGAGTGTAATGCTATGCTGCAATGTTTATGTTGAGGCTGTGATTGAGTGACCTTAAGATAAGCTCTCTGCTGCTGCTGAGAAAATTTAGGGAGTTAACCACTTGGAGCAGAAGAGCTAAGCAGCTGCAAAAGAACTGTTTTGACTTACAGTTTTCCTGAGTGTTCCTGTGTGTCGCTTGCTGAAGATGGATGTATTTTTACTCTGTGTTTAGTAAACTGAGTTTTCTTTGTAAAGTCCATGCTATCTTTGTGTTTTATATTTTGGACTACAAAAACAGCCAGCAAGTAAGTGCTGTTTTAATTAAACTGTTTGATAAAACTGGGAGTTTGATTCATCTCTACCTAAACAAGGTCCATGATTTTACAGAGCTGTATCTGGTGTATCTAGCATTTGCTTCTGTCAAGTTGCACCTTAGCTTGACAGGTTTGTCCCCACAGCATTCTCACCAAGAAGCAAGTAGCAAAATGTGGGCAGGGCCATGCTACTGGGAGGGGGGCTGGGGTCTGAGACCCAAGGGTGCTTTCCCATTGGCAACTCTGTGGTCACTCCTGGGAGGAGCATCGCAATGGAAGAGCTGGGGATTCCCTAAGGAGAGCGTTTCCCTCCCAAGGGAAGCCAGGCTCTGGGCATGGGCGCTGCCGTGACGGGGATTCTCACTGGCCAACATTACTGTGGCCCTTCTGAAGGGTGGCCACCTTTGGGAGCATGCACCGCTATCTCAGGTCCTCCACACTCCTGAATGCGCCAACTGCGACCTTACCTCGTGAAGTCTGACCTGACCATGGTGGTCCATGCCTTAGTTTCCTCTAGACTGGATTATTGCAATGCTCTCTACGTGGGGCTACCGTTGAAGACGGCCCAGAAATTACAACTTGTCCAACGTTCGGCAGCCAGATTAATAACAGGGGTGACCTACAGGGAGCGGTCAACCCCCTGTTTAAGAAGCTCCACTGGCTGCCGTTTATTTTCTGGTCCCACTTCAAGGTGCAGGTTGTCACCTACAAAGCCCTAAACGGTTTGGGACCCGCCTACCTTGGTTACTGTATCTCCCGCCATGAGCCAGCCCGGCCCCCCCGATCTTCTGGGGAGGCCCTCCTTTCGCCCCTGCCAGTCTCACAAGCTCACCTTGCGGGCACAAAGGAGAGAGCCTTCTCCTCAGTGGCCCCCTGACTCTGGAACTCATTACCTGGAGAAATTAGGAAAGCCCCTATCCTAGAAACCTTTAAAAAGGACCTTAAAACCCGGCTCTTCCGTTGTGTCTTTGGTGAGCAGGTGCACAACCTCACACTATTGCTTCACCTCAACATTCTGTCATTGGAGTATTTTATTTATTTATTATTTACTGTATTTGTATACTGCCTTTCTCAGCCTATCGGCAACTCAAGGAGACGCCCCCCCCCCCCTTCGTGGGAAAGCTTGATTCCACAACCCCCGTTTTAATGAGCTCCCCTCTTCCGCAAATAACCTGCTTCACCTTTATCTCACCTGAATTTTTAATCAGTTTTTAATTAGTTTCTTCTTTTAACCATTACATGTAGCCTGCCCATTGTCACTGTGATTGCGCTTGTTGCAATGCATTCACATGTTTTATGTAATTATGATGTTGTTGTTTACGTTTTCAGTTTTACTCTGCTGTAATTGTTGTCTGGGCTTGGCCTCATGTAAGCCGCCCTGAGTCCCCATCGGGGAGATGGTGGCGGGGTATGAATAAAGATTATTATTGATTGATTGATTATTCTTACACCTGTCTGAGGCCATTGCTTGGCATCCTGGTCTTGAGAGGAAACCTGGCTGCAGTTTCTCAAGTTGCTATTTGTTTGCTTGACGAAGGGATTGAATGTTTGCTGTCATGTTAGAATCTGCCGGGGAGATAGGGCAGAATACAAACAAAGCAGCCAGGCTTTGAAGCTGCAAGGCCATTCAATGCTAACCAAGGTTATTTATTTATTGTGTCATCAGCAACCAGACCATTGTATTAGCTAACCAAGGTGGCAACATTGCAACATTCACACCTGCCTCAAGGAGACAAGAGCTCTTTCTCCTATCGTATTCCAACAAAGGATTCCCCCAGGCAGCAAGAAGTGAGACCTTGAAACTGTTGGGTCAATCAATGCTAACCCAGGTAATGAATTGTAACATTCACACCTGCCTTAAGGAGTCAAGAGTTCTTTCTCCCGCCCTGGATACCTCCCAACAAAGGATTCCCCCAGGCAGTAGGAAGCGAGACCTTGAAACTGTGAGGCCATTCAATGCTCAACCAGGTGACCAATTGTAACATTCACACCTGCGTTAAGGAGTCAAGAGTTCTTTCTCCCTCCCTGGATACCTCCCAACAAAGGATTCCCCCAGGTGGTAAGAAGCGAGACCTTGAAACTGTTGGGCCAATCAATGCTCACCCAGGTGACCAATGGCAACACTCACACCTGCCTCAAGGAAACAAGAGGCCTTTCTTTCTCCTGCCCTGGACACCTCCCAACAAAGGATTCCCCCAGGCAGCAAGAAGCGAGACCTTGAAACTGTGAGGCCATTCAATGCTCACCTAGGTGACCAATGGCAACACTCACACCTGCCTTAAGGAGTCAAGAGGCCTTTCTTTCTTCTGTGCTGGACACCTCCCAACAAAGGATTCCCCCAGGCAGTAGGAAGCGAGACCTTGAAGCTGTGAGGCCATTCCATGCTAACCCAGGTGACCAATGGCAACATTCACACCTGCCTCAAGGCGACGAGAGTTCTTTCTCCTGCCCTGGACAACTCCCAACAAAGGATTCCCCCAGGCAGCAGGAAGCGAGACGTTGAAACTGTGAGACCACTCAACGCTCACCTAGGTGACCAATGGCAACACTCACACTTGCCTCAAGGAGACAAGAGTTCTTTCTCCTGCCCTGGACAACTCCCAACAAAGGATTCCCCCAGGCAGCAGGAAGCGAGACGTTGAAACTGTGAGAGCATTCAACGCTCACCTAGGTGACCAATGGCAACACTGACACTTGCCTCAAGGAGACGAGAGTTCTTTCTCCTGCCCTGGACAACTCCCAACAAAGGATTCCCCCAGGCAGCAGGAAGCGAGACGTTGAAACTGT